GAACTCCGGAGAATTTTGTGATGAATTCTGTGGAAGAGACTGGAGATTGGGGATGAACTACTGGGGGAAAAGTGTTAGTCCCTTTGTGGATGTCAAGGTGGGTTCTCATTTGATTCTTTGTTTCTTCATTTCTGGTCAAGCCAACAGCTCAGGGACCTCCTCTGGAAAGAGACAAATGTCTCAGGAGGCTGGTCTTTCTTGTGTATTTAGGACTGCTCTCCAGAAAATCTGTAATTGGCTCTCAGGGGGTTGCCTCTCCCCTCTGGGCAATTGTCAGCTTCCCTATAATAGAGGAAGGACCTGCAAGGAAAGGGCACTGGAATCTGGATTCTAGCAGGGGAGATGGAGAGTGAAGGACAGAATGGATTTGGGGCACAGAGAGTGACTGGTAAGCTGTTGCTAATCAGTGCTCTGCATGACTTCAGCTTGAGCTCACAGAGGGAGAGCACTGAAGGCAGGAAACGTCAATATTGTGAAGCCCTCAGCCCACCTTAACACATATTCTCCTCACTATTTTCCTTAGGATTGTTATTTCAGGTGAGTTTCCTATTTTTGTGTAATTCTTTGCAGCTTAGTTCACAGATCCTTTTAGAAAACTAAGGAATTGGTCTTTGCAGAGCTTTCTCCTCTAATCAGTAACACATTTCCTTTAACTCAGAGAGGCAAAAAGTCTCTTTTTCAAAGGTCTTTAAGGAAATACTACAGTCTTCCTCCAGAATCCTATTGTTGCCATTTCTATCACTGAGACCTTAAGAAGCTGGTTTTCAATCTCCCTTCTGCACCCTGCTCATTTCCATGTTTCCTGTAGGTGGACCACAGATCATCATGAGGACAGCATTGGTTTGAGAAGGACACATTCACACCATTTTCCTTCACAATGGAGATTTATCCTATTTCTCATAGGATAATAGATATGGTATATGCCTAATGTCATGATGTTTTCCTTAAACATTTTTGGTATATTTTCTACTTTATTACAGAGTAAATGCCAAAGAAAGCTAAAGATAATTAAATTAAGAATTCAAACTAGTGAAAATTTATTTACTGTTTGCTTTCTGTTTATAAAAACAACACATTTACCAGATATTTCAAAATATGTGGGAATAAATTTTCTTCATTTTCTAAAGAATAATTAAATTCATAGTTTCCAAAGAAAAAATAAAAATTGCATTTCCACCAGTGGTGAGAGTTTTAACTGAAGACCCCCTGCTGTGACTTTTACCTGTACAGGGTTGAGCCTGTGATTGGGTGTTTTCCAGAAAATGGATATTTTGCACTATTTTCATTTCCCTCTCTGTTAGAATGGAGTTTTCAAGCACAAAACTCAGCTCCTTCCCTATTTGATGGTCTCTCTCTCTTCTAGGCAATAGTGACCTCTCCTCCAGTGGCCCTGCACACACCCCATACCTCTTTGCTTTCCTTTTGTCCCCACCCCCTCCTTTGAAAAACAGGTCTGGGATGCCGTGGTCTGAAAGGCTAGGGTTATCTTACAATCAAAAAATTAGTTTTTACAAGAGTGAACTTTTAAAAAACTCCCAAGAACAATCTGATTTGGGAGATAGAATACAGCCATATTTCCAGATTCTAGTGGATTCTGTGACCACACACATTGAAGTTAGATATTCCATGGGGGTTGGAAATTGGGGTTAATTAGCTCATGTATAGGTGGATCACACCGCATTGGCCTTCTGAAAAATGGCTTAATACCCCAGCCCTCCTAACATTTATACTTCACCCTTTGTTTCCATTCTCATCTCTTGTTTTCTGACCACATTCCTGGATAGGTTAACATTGTTTAGCATTTATTCAGTGGACTAATAAAGGTTAATAGCATTAGGGACATTGTAATGTGTTTGTTCTCCTCATATTGTGTGTGTGTGTGTGTGTGTGTGTGTGTGTGTTTGTGTTGGGGGGCTGGGTTTTGTCAAGTCTGAGGTCTTACTGGTACCCTAGAGATTGCCAGTCAGGGACATATGTCTCTGACTGTTGATGTTTTGGCACTTGGAGGTCAATGGGACTTCTTTTCCTTTGTTTCCCCTGACTTGTTCTCATCCTCACTCTGTGTTCCCTGAAATCTGTTCCCTGAAATCCTGGTTCCTCTCCAGGATAGTTGGGATGAAGGATAGTTGAAATGAAGGAAATAGCATGTTGCTCCTTTAGACAATGTCATGAAATGGATTTCAATAGGCAAACATGAATTTCACAACAAAATCATGAAACTTGTTTGTCCTCATCGTGCTGTTCTCCATTGTGCTGCTTTCTGGTTTCAGCCAGCTGAATGCTGCCACAGGAAAGAAGGATTCCACTTCATTTATTACCTGGAGAGTGAGTGAGTGGAATCTATAGGGATACAAATCTTTGTGACTATAGGGATAAATGGCTGTGTCAGTATGATCTACTTTTGACACTGATTCCTGGGGTGATGATGAGCTACTTATGACTGGAGGTTCTTGACTGGTTTGCATGCCTACCTCTCCTGGGAGAGTAATGGTGTAGAAAGGACCCAATATTCACATTGGGTTTAGTGTGCATAAATGATATAGAGGTTATAGAAGGTCCTCAGAGGAAAGCCAAATTCATACCACCAAGAAGAACACTGAGGTATAGGATGTGGAATAAGACAGTAACAGAACTTCTGGAATTTCTAGGTTCATGGAGTGCAGAACCCCTACTGTTCACTTCACATGGGCTTTGGTTGTGGCACAAGTGGTTTTAAACATCAGTGTTTATTGAGGCTTCATCTTTGTTTAGAACTTTGTTGAGTATGGTGGATATAAATTGTAATCTCTGTGATAGAGGAACTAGTAGTTTTTCCAAGGAGGAGAAAGTGCAAACAACAGAATAATGAATGATCACTTCAAGGCAGTGCTCCCCAGGTTCCAGCTGTGTGGACTCTTCCTCTTCTATTCTGGTTACTTTGGACCCAGCTTCCTCAGCACCATTCAAGTGTGGGTAGACCCCATCACCCCAGTTTCTAAAAGCCTCACGTGTGCCCTAGTGCTTATAGGATAGAGCTCCAGTTCCTCATGATGGGACAGGACCCTTGCACTCTGGTCCTGGACCATCTCTCCATCCTTACCTTCCATGTTCTTTGCCTCAATCCTAATGCTTCTCCAGAAAAGAAATTCTTTTAATTGTCCTTGGCTACTTTCCCACAACACCTTCTGCTCTTCACATTCTATATGGTTTCTGACCTCAGTTTCTGCTGCCCATTTTCCTTTTCCCTGAAATGTCCTCCCACAATACCTTCTGTTCTCCACAGCCATCCCATCAGTCCAGGGCCACTTCCTCTTTGGAATGTTTCTTACAGGTTAGATTCATGAGCTCTCCTTTAGTGTATTGCAGTTACTTGTTGATGCGTCCATTTTCTGCACAAGATTGTAAGCTCCTCAGGCATATGGACAGGTTTCATTTGACCTAGAATTCTCAGCACCTAGCATAATATCTCCTATACATTATATACTTAGTGCATGATTGCTCAAGGAGTAAAGGGCTCCACTAGTCAAGGAGGTTTTACGGAGGAGATGAAACCTAAACTTGACCTTCAAATATTTATTAGTCAGGTCAGGCAGGAGAATTGGACATTGGGCTCTATGGAGAAGGCAGATGTGGCTTCAGGCAGGAGAATGGGACATTGGGTTCTATGGAGAAGGCAGATGTGGCTTCAGGCATGAAGTACAAAATAGTGTGAAGTGAACTCTCCTACCCAACATTGGCTCTTAGCCATCCAGGTCCACCTCTCAGGCAACTGATGTTTTAGCCTCTCTGTATTAAAAATAACTTATATTTTATGTGATAATAAACAGAATATATGCTTATTAATCCTGCAGCCTAAAAAACACCACTGTTAGGATTTGATATGTATATATGCCTCTGTGTGTGTGTGTGTGTGTGTGTGTGTGTGTGTGTAAATATCTCGGGTTTGTTCTTTATCTTTCCATTATACTCACAATCATTTGATGTACTCTCATTGTTTTCAATATAAAACCCACACATCCCTTTGCATAGCATAGGAGATTTTCCTTGTACATACACAGACCTATTTTTAGATCTTAAAAACTCAATGACATGTCTTTGCTTCCATGGATGCCTCCCCTGCTTAGATTGCTCTGTCCACTCTCCTGCCTGTTGCCTGGCCAACTCTTCCCTGTCCTGCAAAACTGATCCTACAATCTACTTTCCCTGACCAGATTCTCGCACTTCCTTCACTCCTTTGTATTTGGTCTCTCTGTTCCCACAGAACCTATACTTCTCTGCACTGTCGCTGGTCACATTTCCAATATAAAATCTTGAATGACTTGATGGAAACAGTATTTAAAGAAGGTTGTCTTGCTAAGGGAGAGGGAAAATTGGGGACTTGCAGGCCACACAGAGGTAACTGTACTGAGATGGTCATGAAGGGGCTGTGAAAGCAGTGGTGTGCAACGAGGAGAGAATGTGTGAGGGATGTCACTGATTGGAGGTGGGGAATGGGAGAGGACATTCAGATGAAAATGATTATTATATGGTAAGCTCAGTATCAAGACAGAATTTTGCACCACTCACCTGTTTGATTGTGACTGGGAAGGATGGAGGAATTCATGTTTAATCATGCTGATCATGTTTTGAGCTGAGGATAGGGCCTGTCTAGCAGGCATTTAGAGGGTGTTCAGGAGGGAGGATGTGTGGCTGGATCTACAGATTAGGATCATGGTTTCACTGTGTCACAGAAATACTGTGTTGAATTAATAGGGTGGAGGGCTCTGAAAACTATGCTGGTGTTTGGATGAACTCGCTAGAGTGAGAACATGCACAATTAAGGACAGCCCCAGGAACAGGAATTGGACAAGGGGTAAGCCACTACAAAGAGGGACAGGTGAGGATGTGCAAGGGACTTGTATTCTGGATACTCACCCTCATTGTTTTCATTTTAGCCCTACTTATGTCAGATTGGTGTATGAGAAGAGATGCTCTAGAATCTCTCCTTTAATCTCTGCCAGAGAGCAGCTTGGATGATCCCTATGGAAATGGTTGCTCTAGAAAACCAAACTATTACAGAATTTGTCCTCCTTGGTTTCCATGACATAGCTGAGCTGCATCTCCTTTTCTTTATTGTGTTCACTGTCATCTACGTCTCCACTGTCATGGGGAATGTGCTAATCATTGTGGTGGTGGTTAGCTCACAGAGGCTCCACACACCCATGTATTTCTTCCTGGCTAACCTGTCCTTCCTGGAGATCTTCTACACCTCCACAGTGGTGCCAAAAATGCTGCAGAGCTTCTTGCAGGAGGCAGCCATCTCTGTGGCTGGATGCCTGCTCCAGTTCTTTATCTTTGGTTCTCTAGCTACAGCTGAATGCTTCATGCTGGCCGTCATGGCCTATGATCGATACCTGGCGATCTGCTATCCACTCCACTATCCCCTTCTGATGGGGCCCAGAGGGTGCTTGGGGCTGGTGCTCATAGCTTGGCTCTCTGGTTTCATGGTGGATGGATTGGTTGTGGCCCTAATGGGACAACTGAGGTTCTGTGGCCCCAGCCAGATTGACCACTTTTACTGTGACTTTATGCCTTTGATGGGCCTGGCCTGCTCAGATCCTAGAATTGCCCAGATGACAACATTCGTTCTCTCTGTGGTCTGCCTCACTATCCCTTTGGACTGATTCTGACATCCTATGCCCGGATTGTGGTAGTTGTGCTGAGTCCCTGCAGGGGCCCAGAGGCAGAGGGCTTTCTCCACTTGTTCCTCCCACCTGGCAGTAGTGTCCACCTTCTATGGAACTCTCATGGTCTTGTACATTGCACCCTCTGCCATCCACTCCCCACTCCTCTCCAAGGTCTTTGCTCTGCTCTACACTGTGGTCACCCCTCTTCTCAATCCTGTGATCTACACCCTGAGGAATAAGGAGATTCATCATGCACTGCAGAGGCTTCTGTGTATTAAGCACACTGAAACACCTGATTGAAGGAGGATGGTGGTGAATATTTTATTTGGACTTTGGATGTCTCCACTGGGGTTTCTTTCAGGACTGACTGGTTGGGGAGGAAGAACTTTGTTCTATTTTGACATTTCCCTTTGCAAAATGTTCCATGGTTACTCTAAAAAAAATAAAAAAAATTTCAAGTGCTAAGTTAAAATTTACTTTTATCTTTTATTCTTTTTAAAATAGGCTATGTAAGGGCACCTGGGTGGCTCAGTGGGTTAAAGCCTCTGCCTTTGGCTCAGGTCATGATCCCAGGGTCCTGGGATCAAGCCCTGTGTTGGGCTTTCTGCTCAGTGGGGAGCCTGCTTCTTTCTCTCTCTCTGTCTGCCTCTCTGCCTACTTGTGATCTCTGTCTGTCAAATAAATAAATAAAATCTTTAAAAAAATAAAAATAATAAAATAAAATAGGCTATATATATTTAATAGAGGAAATAGATACACAAAAGTAACAACAGAAAGCTGACCTGGAAATATTGGCTACTAGTATTGTGTGTGGATTGTGAAACTTTGTAGTCTGTTTTTTCCACTGGACACTATGTCTCAAACATCTTTCTATTTCAGGAAGTATGTACTTATGTATTCTTTTGGGTTTTTTAGAATGGCTAAACATGATTTGTTTAAATAATGTTCTATTGTGGAATCTTTTTAGTTATTTGCAATTCATTCACCATACAAACATAGTTCACATCCAGATTTTACTACAATAAATCTTTAGAACTTCAATTGCCTGGTCTAAGGATCTCTAATATTTTTTAAAACTTAAACATGAATGTATTTTATTTATTTCTTTTTAATTTTTTTGTAGACAATTTCAAACATATGAAAGTAGAGAGAAAATTATAGCAACCCCATGTAGCAATCATACAGCTTCAGTATCTGCATTTGCCAGCTCTGTTTCAATGACCTGTACCTCCTTCTTTTTCTCAAAATTTTAGAGCACATTCAGAAGTGTACATTGTGTAATACATATTCCACATATAAATATTCACTGTGCTCTATGACTGGTAAAGACATTTTTAATTAACTTTTATTTTTAATACCAATACAGTTAACATACAGTGTATTATTAGTTTCAGGTGTACAATATAGTGATTCATCACTTCCATAGATCACCCTGTGCTCATCATGACCAAATACACTTCTTAATTCCCACCACCTAGTCCACCCACCCCCCACCCACCCATCCTCTGGTGACCATTAGTTTGTTCTCTATAGTTAAGAGTCTGTTTCCTGGGCACCTGGGTGGCTCAGCTGGTTAAACATATGCCTTTGGCTCAGGTCATGATCCCAGAGTCTGGGGATGGAGACCTGTGTTGGGCTCCCTGTGCAGCTGGGAGTCTGCTTCTCCCTCTGCTTCCCTGCCCCACTAGCACCCTCTCTCTCTCACTTGTTCACTCTCTCTCTCAAATAAATAAAATCTTTAAAAAAGAGTTTGCTTCCTGGTTTGTTTCTCCCTCTCTTTCCCCTTGGTTCACTTTAGCTTCTTAAAAACTCCACATGTGAGTGAAATCATAAGGTATTTGTCTTTCTCTGACTTATTTAACTTAGCATGATACCTTCTAGTTCATCCATGTCATTGCAAATGGCATGATTTCATTCTTTTTGAAGGCTGAGCAATATTCCATTGTAAATATACACTACATATTCTTTATCCATTCATCTGTTGATGGACAATTAAGTTTTTTCTTTTTTGGCTATTGTAGATAATGCTGCTATAAACATCAGGATATATGTATTCCTTGAATTAATGTTTTTGTATTTTTTAAGGAAAAATAGTGTGTCATTACTGGATCATAGGGTAGCTCTATTTTTACCTTTTTGAGGAATCTCCATACTGTTTTCTATATTGACTATACCAGTTTGCATTCCCACCAACAGTGTAAGAGGGCTTCCCTTTTACTGTATCCTCACTAACATCTGTTTTTCCTGATTTATTAAATTTAGTGATTCTGACCAGTGTGAGGTGATATCTCATTGTGGTTTTGATTATGAGTGATGTTGACCATGTTTTTATATGTCTGTTAGCCATCTGTACATCTTTATGGAGAAATATCTATTCATTTCTTCTGCCCATTTCTTAACTGGACTTTTTGTTTTCTAGATACTGAGTTCGATAAGTTCTTTATTGATTTTGGATACTAGACCTTAATCAGATATGCCATTTGCAAATACATTCTCCCATTCTGTTGGTTGTCTTTTTGTTTTGTTGATTTTTTCCTTTGCTGTGTAGAACTTTTTTTTTTATCTTGATGTAGTCTCAACAGTTTATTTTTGCTATTATTTGCTTTAGCTCAGGAGAGGGTAGCTCTATTTTTACCTTTTTGAGGAACCTCCATGCTGTTTTCCAGAGTGGCTGCACGAGCTTGCATTCCCACGAATAATGTAGGAGGGTTCCCCTTTCTCTGCATCCTCGCCAGCATCTGTCATTTCCTGACTTGTTAATTTTAGCCATTCTGACTGGTGTGAGGTGGTATCTCATTGTGGTTTTGACTTGTATTTCCCTGATGCCGAGTGATGTGGAGCACTTTTTCATGTCTGTTGGCCATCTGGATGTCTTCTTTGCAGAAATGTCTGTTCATGTCCTCTGCCCGTTTCTTGATTGGTTTATTTGTTCTTTGGTGTTGAGTATGATAAGCTCTTTATAGATTTGGATACTAGTCCTTTATCTGATATGTCATTTGAAAATATCTTCTTCCATTCTGTCAGTTGTCTTTTGGTTTTGTTAACTGTTTCCTTTGCTGTGCAAAGCTTTTGATCTTGATGAAGTCCCAATAGTTCATTTTTGCCCTTGCTTCCCTTATCTTTGGCAATGTTCCTAGGAAGATGTTCCTGTGGTTGAGGTCAAAGAGGTTGCTGCCTGTGTTCTTCTCAAGGATTTTGATGGATTCCTTTCTCACATTGAGGTCCTTCATCCATTTTGAGTCTGTTATCTTGTGTGGTGTAAGGAAATGGTCCAGTTTCATTTTTCTGCATGTGGCTGTCCAATTTTCCCAACACTATCTGTTGAAGAGACTGTCTTTTTTTTTCAATGGACATTCTTTCCTGCTTTGTTGAAGATTAGTTGACCATATAGTTGAGGGTCTCTTTCTGGGCTCTCTATTCTGTTCCACTGATCTATGTGTCTGTTTTTGTGCCAGTACCATACTGTCTTGATGATGACAGCTTTGTAATAGAGCTTGAAGTCTGGAATTGTGATACCACCAATTTTGACTTTCTTTTTCAATATTCCTCTGGCTATTCGAGGTCTTTTCTGGTTTCATATAAATTTTAGATTATTAGTTCCATTTATTTGAGAAAAAAAATGGATGGGATTTTGATAGGGATTGCATTAAATGTGTAGATTGCTTTAGGTAGGATAGAGATTTTCACAATACTTGTTCTTTCAATCCATGAGCATGGAACATTTTTCCATTTCTTTGTGTCTTCCTCAATTTCTTTCATGAGTTCTTTATATTTTTCTGAATATAGATTCTTTGCCTCTTTGGTTAGGTTTATTCCTAGGTATCTTAGGATTTTGGGTGCAATTGTAAATGGGATTGACTCCTTAATTTCTTTTTCTTCTGTCTTGTTGTTGATGTAAAGAAATGCAACTGATTTCTGTGCATTGATTTTAATCCTGACACTTTACTGAATTCCTGTATGAGTTCTAGCAGATTTGAAGTGGAGTCCTTTGGGTTTTCCACATATAGTATCATATCATCTGCAAAGAGTGATAGTTTGACTTCTTCTTTCCCGATTTGGATGTTTAATTTCTTTTTGTTGTCTGATTGCTGAGGCTAGGACTTCTAGTACTATGTTGAATAGCAGTGGTGATAATGGACATCCTTGCCATGTTCCTGACCTTAGCGGAAAAGCTCTCAGTCTTTCTCCATTGAGAATGATATTTGCAGTGGGTTTTTCACAGATGACTTTGATGATATTGAGGTCTGTGCCTTCTATCCCTATGTTTTGAAGAGTTTTGATCAGGGATGCTGTACTTCATCAAATGCTTTTTCAGCATCTATTGAGAGTATCATATGGTTCTTGTTCTTTATTAATGTATTGTATCACATGGATTGATTTGCAGATGTTGAACCAACCTTGCAGCCCTGGAATAAATCCCACTTGGTCGTGGTGAATAATCCTCTTAATGTACTGTTGGATTCTATTGGCTAGTATTTTGGTGAGAATTTTCACATCTGTGTTCATCAAGGACATTGGTCTGTAATTCTGTCTCTCTCTCTCTAAAAGATTTTATTTATTTATTTGCAGAGAGAGAGAGAGAGAGAGAGAGAGAGAGATCACAAGTAGACAGATAGGTAGGCAGAGGGAAGGGGGGAAGCAGGCTCCCTAGTGAGCAGAGAGCCCAACATGGGGCTTGATCACAGGACCCTGAGATCATGATCTGAGCCGAGGCAGAGGCTTAACCCACTGAGTCATACAGGCGCCCCAAGTAATTCTCTATTTTGATGGGATCCTTGTCTGGTTTTGGAATAAAGGTTCCACTGGCCTCATAAAATGAGTTTGTAAGTTTTCCTTCCATTTCTATTTTTTGGGACAGTTTCAAGAGAATAGGAATTAATTCTTCTTTAAATGTTTGGTAGAATTCCCCTGGGAAGCCATCTGGCCCTGGGCTCTTGTTTGTTTGGAAATTTCTGATGACTGTTTCAATCTCCTTACTGGTTATGGGTCTGTTCGGGTTTTCTATGTCTTCCTGGTTCAGTTGTGGAAGTTTATATGTCTCTAGGAATGCATCCACTTCTTCCAGATTGTCAAATTTTCTGGCGTAGAGTTGCTCATAATATGTTCTTATAATTGTTTGTATTTCTTTGGTGTTAGTTGTGATCTCTCTTCTTTCATTCATGATTTTATTTATTTGGGTCCTTTCTCTTTTCTTTTTCATAAGTCTGGCCAGGGATTTATCAATCTCATTAATTCTTTCAAAGAACCAGCTCCTAGTTTTATTGATTTGTTCTATTGTTTTTTTCATCTCTATTTCATTG